TCAATACCCACACCCTTCCTTCTAATAGCACACCCATTGACTATTGACAACAAATATTTCTTTTTATCTTTGAAAGACGTTGTCCAAAAATTGTAAAACTTTCTTTTATGGAAATTAACCAAATTAAGATTTTTGTGTAGGTTGAATTTCAAGTCAAAAATTTCAAATATGCTTTCCGTACAAGCTTAGATGGCATCAATATCTCACAAATAAACCATAACCCCGAACTCTCTTGGTGTTCAACATACGTCACTCATGTCTACCAGATATCATCCTACATCCCAGTTGTAAAGGAAACTAAAAATTGATGATTTTCTTGCACAAGACTCAAATTATGATAGATTGGATTATGTTGCCTATTTAATTACAACGTTTCTATAAACTCATGTCCAAAAATATTTTCTTTATATTCTTTCGATTCACATTTCTTTCATCGTCTTTTTACATGAGTATGATGCATGATAAAATGCTTTAATGAAATTCTTAAGCAATGCACACACCAAAGGCTTCCGATAGTTTTTCGAAGTAGGAGATGCTAAACTTTTTTTCTCAGACTGTATCTAACATTTTTTACAGCCGTAGCTGAAAAGTCAAATGCAAAAGATGGAGGGGTGAGGTCAAAAGGTCAGGAATTATTTTATGCAGAGGCGATATAAAATTTTTTCCAATATCAAAATTGCGTGAAATCCTTTTTTCTGGGAATTTAATGTCGTATGAAACGTGCACTTCGGCAAACCTTACTAACTAGTACAGAACCAAAGTCAGTATCTCAGAGAGCGAGCATTTTTTGCAGATTGCTAAGAGTTATACTTTCCTTGAAAATTTTCGAAAAAAGTCTTTCATATTCAATGCCGAGGCGTTTCTCAATGTTGTTGGCGCCGAAGGCGGCTACACTTGTGACGGTTAGTCGTTAGTGAAACGTTTTTTAAGCTTAATTTTAAAAATCGCAGTCGGCTGCGATTTAGATTCACAGAAAAAGTGCTGAGCTTAGCGTAAGAGGAGGCAAGGTTTACTAAACCTTCGTTTCATATTTGATGCAAGCTCTATTGTGTCTGTGAGATTCATCGAAGTTACAGACTGTGTGCGAGACCTAGACTGCTTACTAAATCTAGCAGAAGTCGCAGAATGTCTGCCAGATTTGCCAAGCCTATACTGTTTGCTAAATTTGATAGAACCACAGACTGTCTGGCGAATTTTAGCATAAAACTATAGACTGACTGCGAAAAATGCCGATATAAACTATTCGCAAGATTTGCCAGATCTACAGTATCTTATATATCTACTAACCAAGACTGTCGGCTGAATGTGCCAGAAGTCGAAGATTGCTTGAAATATTTGGCAGACACATCGAAAAAGTGGTAGAGGCTAGTTCACTCCATTCCCTTCTACATCGATAGCCATGCACACACCATTTTTCTTTCTTTCTTCTTCTGTCAATGCCGATGTTTTCGTTCGTGGTTGAAAAGTTATAAAAAAAAAACTTTTAGATCAAGACAGCAACTGTAAAATATTTATACATGAAGACAAATGAAATATATAATGAAAACTAAATTTTTGTGAAATATTGTGAAATAGAAATTTCTTAGGAAGACAGCAACTTTTACAAGTAAATCTTTTCCATATTTTGAATATTTAGAAGACAGATATGGACAAATAAGTATTGAGTTATAAGTCAATTAATAATACTGTGGTGTTTAGTTGTCAAAAAGCAAGAAAATTAGTCTGCGCTTGCATTCAAGTGGTACATGTATCTATATCGATAATAAGCAAATTTCCAGTGAGGACTACTTGAGGGTGTGGGTTTGAGTGAGGGTGAGTTTCAATCTTCTCTTCTTCCACACGCACGTTGACACCCTGCCCATAAAAGAGAAATGATAAACGCAATGAAAAATTTTCCTCCGATTAAAACTGAACTACAGTAACTTTCTGAGCTGCTGGTGCATCAGATGAGTGTGGTAGTCATGTTGAAACGTGTAGAAAAAAAACTGAATGAAGTTAGCGGAGAGGCGAAAGGCCCTATTTCAATTCCGAGGAAAAGTTCAAGGTGTTTATTTTTCCTTTTTTCTCTTTTATGTCATACTGCTGTTTTGCATGCATGTTGTTTGTACAATTATTTGTAATTTCCGATGTTCGTAATTGTTTAGATGGTAAAACACAACGGTCATAGTTACAATCAATGAAGTTTAGTAATCAATTTTTCAATAAACTTTCAACATGTTTGATTTAGTCCAAAAAAGTTGATGGATAAGAGAAATCAAGTTAGAGTTAATAAAGTAGTAGTGTCAACCGAAAATTACTTTGCACTTTACTTGAGCAGTAAGCTTTTTTTGCTGACAGAAATTTCTCTAGTTGAATAAGATGAAACTATGATCCATATATATGGATACATTCGATGAATATGAAGAAAAACACAACAATAGACGAATTATTGGAGGATAATCTATGCTTGCAAACTTTTCAAAATAACATGGTAGATGAGAAAAAAAATAGCTTCTCTTTCTCAACTATGAAAATTAAACGCAACATATGCACGTCAGACAAGAAATAGAGTCCTATTTATGGAGTTGATCATAGGTCGATGCTAATGAACCAATGTTTCTTTCTTGTCAACATGTAGCATTGATTCCATTTCCTTATCATTAGCAACGTTCATATTCTCAGCTACTTCTTGTACATCAGGCTCATCATCTTTGTTACATCCAACATACCATGCATCACGACGTAATATTCCACTACAATAGATAATTCAAACAGATAATTACTGATCTCATTTATGAACAATAACAGGTAAGAGGTAGTAGCTTGGCACAGCTGTACTTACAAAGCTAGTCCTATACGATTGACTTCTTCGACATTTTGTGGCAACGATCTGTTCAGTGTTTCTGGCAATAACAAAGCCATACCTGCTGCTATCAATGAAAATATTCCGTAGAGTACAGTAGGAAGGTTTGGTGAAACTCGTGCCTAACAAAGATTGATTCATTTTTTTTCTTTGACTTGAAAATCAGAGATGATTTTACTGACTAGATAATCATTACAGAATGTTCCCATAATCGCTCCTAAACGACCGATTGTTGAGCAATATCCAAATCCAGTTGTACGTGTGTTTGTCGGAAATAGTTCAGTGGTAAGCAGATAGATAATTGCATATGTCATTGAACCGCAGAATCGTAACAAAACGTTAATGATAAGTAGGATGTTACGATGAACTAAAATGAAAATTTAGGTCAATATGAAATGTTCATGTACGCACTCGATTGCTCCGGCTTTGTGAAGCTTCGTAAGGGTATAATTAGGATTGCTATGATACCAAATGCTAAAGAAAATAAACAATAAGGTAATTTTCGTCCGACTCGATCGAGTATAGCATGAAATAGCATATATGCAAGCAGTTCTACCAATGCACCGACACAAAATGATGCATACGGGTCGAATTGCCATGATCCTTGAATAGATGCCATATAAAAAATCGTGTTGATTAGTATTTAACTCAGTAGAGTTACCTGTATTCTGTGAAAGGCCAAAATAGACGAGATTTTGAGTGAACCTGCCAAGAAACGCAAGTAAAAATTCAACAATGATTTCCGAAATCGAAACTAACCATTGCAAAAAGAGATTGACAGTAATAAAACTCATAATCGTGGATTGAAACAGACGTGAAATACCTTTTTGAATTTCTTTTGTTTCATTGTTCTGTAATCATTACTCATTTCATGCCACCAAAAAACAATAGCTTGTCTGTCTATTTACTCACCATTCTGTGAGTTCTCGTTAATCTATCATATGCTTCTTGATCAAAATTTGTTTTGTTCATCAACGCAGCTTTTCTGAGAATCTTCTCGGCTTCGTCATATTGTCCTTTGCTGACAAGCCATCGAGGACTTTCGGGTAAGATCCTAATGCAATAGTGTACAGTTAACATTCAATACTTTTGTTAAAAAAAAAGATGCCATAAGGAACCATTTAGGATTTTAGCGAGACCCTGCAATTTTTAGGGTTCTAGATTTGAGTACCATTTTCTGATCCTTTTTTAAAGTTCTAGCCATAAAGTGTAGAACTTTAAACAATTCAGACTTTTTGGCTAGAAGTAAAAAAGGTTCGTAAAATAGTATCCGAATCCAGAGCCCTAAAAATTCTGTCTGACAACTTTGTTTTTACAGAGTATGCTTTTCTTTTTTTCCAAACAAAATATCGGTTATTAAGAAAATTATACCAATAAAAGAAACAAAACGGCACAGTGAATAAAACCGAGACCAATAACAGCATTCTCCAAGTACGAACGAAGTACGCGAAAGTTACTAAGCAAAACATGCCAAGTACATAAGCATAGTTCATCACTGCATTTGCCATAACACGTTTTTTTGGGATAACTTTGATAGATAAAAAATCAATAAAAATCATCATTCAAACGAATATTCCTCACCTAATTCTGTACAAAGTACAAATCCGGATTCGATGATGCCTCTTATAGAACAAGCAAGTAAAAAACGACTTATAACAAAGATTGCATGCGATTCTCGAATACCAAATTTCGATTGTGGACCAAACGCTGAGAGAAAGCATACGACAGTTAATATGATGAAGCAGACACTCATGATCGGTCTACGACCATATCTAAACATAAATAATATTTAAGATGAAAATAAAGACAAAACACTCTAGTGCTCATACCTATCCGCCATGCTACCGAATAAAATTGCACCCATCATTATACCAAGAAAAAAGGCAATTTGAACTACTGTACGATAGAGAATACGATCACAAACCATATTCCACTTCAAGAGAAAACAATCGATTATGTAAGGAAGAAACCATCGATAAACTTCATAGTTATTCTGGCGAAAGATCCAATATGGATGTTTTACGAGAAAGTTATGTGCATAAGATTTCTCTAGACTACTATGAAATTCAACACTCTCATGAAATATTAGAGATGTATTTAAAACAGAAGTCTTTCTTTCAGATCAGTTTTCATTTGTCTCCAGCGATCGTAAAGAAAATTATTTAGCATTACAGAATATCGAATGACTCACTTCTTCAACCAATGTTTTCTTATAGATGGATTGATCAAATACATAATTGTTACAAGTTTGAAGATTGCTGATAAGACTAGTATTACGCATGAACACTCGTGCATAGCATTGTTGACATTCTTTTAATGAAATTCCTTGTTGATATGTAGTACAATCTTCTTCTGTTGGTTTGTATGTTCGAGTGAATAATTCGTTCATTTCTGCATTGTAATCGTCCGTTTCATACGGAAGACGACATCGAAAATCCGGTGTAGCCGCAATAAATGTCCACGTAAAAAACATAAATGGTGGTATCATACTTATGAGACAGAGAATGCAGAACTTGGTTTTCTGAAATCGACCCCAATCGTTAATTGTCGTTAGAAACGTGTCAAACGTCATCGCACGATCTTTGAAAAAGAAGAAGAATATACAAGCGGAGGGCGACATAAAAGTAAATCAAAAAGAAGCTGAACAGGGAAGAACACAGTTGGTAATGGATAAAAAATCAAAATTAGAGTATCTTATGCATATAGAATAGATAGCCCATGGTATACCTCTCATTTACCTTTTGGTGAGATGCAATAACATAGTCATTGTCATCACCATTACGTGTTGTTTTCAACAGAGTGCCTGCATAACGCGCTAAAATAGTAATATTTCTTCCGCAATCTGTTTACTTTTGTCCAATAAGAACTTCAATAAACAATCGTTTATAACTTAAACATGTGTGTTGCTATTGTGGCGTATAAAAATGAATGAAAAGTTGCAAACGAGTATCTTGTGATTTAGCACTATATCTACCCACGAAGAAAAATTTAAAATAAAGTCATAGCGTTAGGTATGAGGGTTGTTATCGGTTTCAAATATCGTAGCATACTTACTAGTAACTTCGGTATTCTGTATGATAATTGCTATCTGTTTCAATTACAGCGTCCTGCTTATTTTCTAGTCGTAGTATTAGATATCACATGTCGCATAGAATCTAATTGAATACGAAAATATGTGTGTAACATGTGTTTCAATTTGATGTGAATGTGAATGGAAAAGAACCTACGTTTAATTTAGCTATTTATTTTCTTCTATACAGCGAAACACGATTTAGAAACTCAGTCAATTTTAATTAACCAAATAATAGCCAATAAATAACTACTTGTTAGCATAATAATCATCAATGATAAATAGTTAATGGGCTCTGAATGAAAGGACTGTTGACAAAAATTGGATCAAAGCTGAAACACACTCTCTTCCCTGCGAGAATCATCACAGATCGTATCTCAGTAGTGTCTTATCAGAATATGATATGTGCTACTTCCTCTTTACAGTTTTGGAGGACTAAGTAAAGCATAATGAAGCGGGGTATCCCAAATAAGATCAAATAAAAGAATTTTTATACTATTAGTACCAATAGTGGTATCATCTTATGCATTGTAATTCCATAGGAATAGCACTAATAGCTTTTTTCTCAGTGACAGCCGTTTAAGTGAAGTAAAGTAAAGTAAAGTAGATCAAGATGAATTACAATACTGAAAATAAACTGCCGATACGCTGGCTCAGCATCATATATAGATAATACTGCTGCATCACCATCAACATATGATGTTCGACCACAAAATCAATACTAAATTGTAGTTATTCAAGTTCCCTTTACTCTACTTTACTCTACTTTTTCAAAGTAAAATAAAGATAAAGTACCAACACTATTCTTCAAATAAATCTTTGAGCAATTCGTGTGTGGTTAACTGGATCTGTTGTTTCTTGTTGTTTATTTTCAGATGGTACGAGCTGATGAGTATTTCTTCTATTTTGTTAATTACGTTAAGGATTAATGATGCGCAAACATACAAGTGAGAGTCACTTTGACTAAGATCTATCTACTCTAATTTCACATTTCCATGCACTGCGAGAACAATGTTGAAATAACTGTTGATAACAAATTAATGACTAAAAAAATCAATACTTCATTGTAAAAGCTTCTGGGATCAGCAATAGGTTTACAGTGTCTTTTTAACCCAAAACATAAACCATTTAGTGATTGAATCGATCAATGCAGTTCACGAGATCGACATAACCGAAACTGAACAACATCTAGTAACTGCAAAATATTTTATAAAGTTTTCAAGCACTATACTATATGAGATTCACAACAAAACTAAGTCCTCATAAGATTAGGGATGTGCAGTACCACTTTACTAATACACCGATCACTTCGGTGTTACTACTCACTAAAGCACTGACATATTGATGTTTACTTTCATTAACTATTATGTATCACAGATGCCGGAAATCGCTTTTTTTCAATCCATGGGCCAACCCTGGTTGTTGTGACTTTCAACTTTCTTTTATGTATTAATACAAATGAAAGTTTCAAAGCGCCTATGTAAGGATTGTTTATGATATGTAAGTGATCGTTCTATAGGCTATGAAAGGGTGTGGGTGTGGGTTACAGTGGATGGCCAGGCGGCAAAATTGATTTGTGGAATCTGAACCTATATCATAGATAGCATTAAAGCTACTACAGCCCTGCATTTAACTTCACCTTGGATTCTGATTGTGAGCGAGTAACCATCTTGCAGTAGGGTGTGGGTGTGGGTGTGGCGTGCGACTGTGGGAATATCTGATATTCTGAAGTGCACACACAACCACATCCACACCCACACCCACACCCACACACCCACACCCACACCCACACCCACACCCACACCCACACCCACACCCACACCCACACCCACACCCACACCCACACCCACACACACACCCACACCCTCGATTGATTAGAGAAATAGATTCGAAAATATCTTCAGAATAGTATGCAGTAAACAAAGTTATAATATCAAAGATTTGTAAATGATGCATATGAAATAAAATCAATTGTTTCCATCGATTTTTATATAAATATGTTGAATCATTTTCTAATGTAATACATAAAAATTCAACTGGATTAAATAAATTTTTTATTAGTAATTCAAATTCATTGAAATTCATGTTTGTTATATTCAAAAAAACATGTGTCAAATGATTCAAGTGAATTGAATACTGTTCTTCATATTTTTCAGAAAATCGATTCGAAAGATGAATCGATAAATGATGAAGTTGAGCAACATATGATAAAAGATTATTCAATTCATCGAGTCGCAATAGGTAATGAAAAAAAGATTAAGAGATTCATGCAATGATAATTTACAATATTTTAATACAAGTAAACGAAATATTTGACGATAAATAATGTCTTTATTTTCAACATTATCTATATAATCGATGACTAGTGAATATAGACGAGGTAAGGAAAGTAAATAAATAAGAAGTTCATCAAGATAATTTGATTTGATACCGTGAAAAATAAGATTTTCAAGTTGAGTAAATTTTGATAGAATAGAAATTGGTGAAAAAACATGATTGATAATAAATAACTAAATTCGATTTTTATTAGGCATGATAATTCGTGTGTAAAAACGTTGAAACATTGATTTCGATATGAATGAAAGTTTGATTTTTATCGGTTGATTTGAGTTAATAAGAAGATTTTGAAATCGTATATTAAGAATGGAAAAAATTTCATACACTTAAAAAAAATCCAGGAAATCGAATATTTCATAAATAACTTCATTGAAAAGATGTTCAACACGAGTGATAGAATTCCTTGATGTAATAAACAAAAAGTAGTTAAATTTTCACAGAGAAAAATCAGAAGATTTTTTTTCTTTAAACTTACCTGTTCAAATCGACTATTATTATTATAAAAATAATAAAAAGTATAGCTAGTAATGCAACAAAAACAAATATATGTATGACTCTTACTTTGTATTCTACTGTCTCGTTCTAGTTTTGTCTCTTCCATATTGAAGTCAATCGAAAACTTTGATAATTTTGATCTATGAGAAAAAGACAAATGATCAATAACAACGATTGTTTTCTCCAAAGAATCCACTTACCGTATTCAGAGCAAGCGGAAAAAATAGTGTATAAACGATATCTGTGTCAATAATTGAAGCATCTTCGCCTGATTTTTTGCCCGCTTACAAGTGTGATGATTGCTGCATCATCATGTCTATCTTTCCTCTCGCCTCTTCTACTATTCCTATTCTCTATATATGATCGTTTCTTCTTAGCCTGTGTACTACTCTATCTTCATCTTTCTCCCTCCTATATAAGCGTGTGTGTCCGTTGTTAGATACAACATTTTCAGAATATGAGCTTCTTTCGGATAAAGATTTTATGTTTACTTGTTCTATAAGAGAAATGTCGAAAGATAAAGGTAATATGTTGAAGTTGTCATTATAACCTATAGAATATTTAATTTGTTTGAAGTAGTCTAGCGGTGTATTTCCATGAGGTTTCTACTACGTTATACAAAAGTATCTTGAATCAACGTGAAAATATCAGCGTTTGTAGAATTCGATTAGTTGATCATTTGGATGCATTTGGATTTCAGAAAATGCCTTGGCATCTATGATTCCCAGAAGTCGAGGATATGATTAGGTGTGGGTGTTGATATTTCCTTTCATACACACCCACACCCAAGTAGAGCATACTTGGAACCGAACCAACTCGTTTGCCGTTCTGGTCCGAGGAAACTGTTAAAATCTGCCGGTTATCACCAGTATTTTTGTTGGTCTTGTATCAGTTTTGGGGCATTATGTCAAGTGTAAATTGTTCATTTTTATCGATTTCCATGACTTTAACGATTAAAAGATATGAGCCTGAAGTTCTCGACTGGCCTATTTGTAGTCGTCATCAAAATTCCAGCTCTAAATATTGAGCTCACACTTTCTCATCATACGATGTAGACTTCAGTTCATGTTGAGTGAATTTATTATGTTCATGAAAACTTAGCAAGTCATCAGAAGTTAAATTTGATCTAAATTAAACATTATCTACTTCGAAATTTCGAGCGCACATTTTTCTGAATTACTTTTAACCCACAACCAAAAGCTCTCGCTAGCTAGTAGTTGTCAATTCATGCTTGCATTAGAAAAATATCAGAAAAGATTTCCTTCTGTGGTAAAACTTAGGCGAACTACTAACCTCATGTAACTACAAAAGTATCTCTTGATATTAAGACACCTAAACATATTATGCTTACGAGGGAACATTCCCAGGTGTTGGAGAGATTTTTAGTCGAGACTTTGCGCATCTTGTAGGCCTTGATGAATTATATCGAGGTTTTAGTGAATTTTTCCTATAAGACCCACATTTGCAGCAAGGCCATATTTTTTAATTTTGATCTGAAACTTTGCCTACATAAACACCTCAGCTAGACTAGTTTGCATAAAAAATTTCAGAACTTTTGGACAAAGTCTCTCCGAGATATGAAACTT